TACCTTAGCTGATTAGAGCGACCATTGAGTCTGATGAAAGTTTGCCGTCCTCAAGATAACATGGCTTGTAGGCACGCTAGCTGTACCGGTGGTCTAATCACGTTTCCTCATTTGGTATCTGCTTTTGACACATATGGTTGAAAGAAYATTGAAACCCTAGGCTAACTCTGGCCAGTGGAGGTACACGCCCTTGTTCAAAGGGCAGCTTGCATGAGACGGATCTGTTGGCTKGTTGGACACATGCAAAGGATGTGAAATTCCTGATCCCTTTTGTTAGTTTTGCTTGGCCCATTAGYGTAAGACAATCAATGTTTATCAACAATACCACTAGGGCCACCTCTTGTGTGTTTTATTTTTTGTTAYTCATGCAATTGATATAATGATAATATTATTGTAACCTATCTTTTAAACAATATAAAACATTGATAATAATTGATAAGGGCAAGATGATCACGAAAAGACAAGAAAAAAGAAAATGAAACGTGCCCCAATTTGCTTTAAAAAAAAACAAAACATTTTGCACCCCATTCGTTTGAAAATTAGTCAAATCATTTCCATAGGTAAAGCTTGCAGCCTGAGTAGTGTTGGTTTTCGCCTTGATTTGTATTTGGCCACTCATTAATTCGAAGTGACTAAAATATGTACATATACGTGCACCGTGGGTGTGTACTATGCAGCTTTACTTGACCATGTCATTCAATTTGTTTATCCATCTCTTTTATATGAGTCAGTAATTTGACACAACTTTAAGTAGGTTTGCTGACTTAGTTGGTATTAGTTTTGACAGCTATCTCTGTCTTAAGGATTTGGTTCTAAAATCTAGCTTGCTTGCTTGCTTGTTTAGGAGGTACGGTACTCACACATTTCATTCTTTCTCAAAGCCGTGGGACCGGAATTACAGTGAAGACACGTCGAATCATGAACACAGTTTTTTCAGGTTATTAGAAAAGAGCTTTCTACTGTTTCAAACCCTTAGAAATGAAGCTTTGAGCTCAAAACTCTGATTGACCAAAATAAATCTCATTTCTAATATTAATCGATTGACAAGGGATTATTTACAGTATGCATTTTTAAAAAGTGGCAAAAAGTAATCATGACTTCAGTGTCCTCAGCATAAGCCAATCAAAAACAATACAATTTTGACTGAAACGGCTGAATTGATCGTCCGAAAGTCTTTGGAAGTGATATTTTTCTGTATATCAGAAGGTATTTAGTCAAACRAAGTCAGTAAAGAAACACTTCAGAGCATCTGCCATTTTTTTCACTTTCTAAAGGTCAAGCTATTTTTTCACTCTGTCAATGTCTACTGGAATGTGCCACATTGTCAGCGATAACACAAGTTCAAAGGATCCTTCCATCTGATCGTCACATCCTGCCCGGGCAATAAAAGTAATGTGTTCTAAATCAGTAATGCTTGGTCATAAGATATCCCTYTAACTATTTTTCAAAAGTGTTGTTATTATTTTGTGTGTCATTGGATACGTGCCACGTAAAATAGAGAACMAGGAATGCAGACTTCTGTCACGTTTTAGTGGCATCTAAGTACTCTCTAAATGGCAYGACCTAGTCTGGTTTTCACTATGCATGGTCACAAGATTTCAACGTCAACTCGGGTTCAATTAAACGCAATGTCCGGAAATTTTCATGGAGCGTTCTTTAATAATGTGATTAGATTATAAGCTAACGTGTTCTCTCAAGATCTCGAGTGGATAGCCAGTATTTACTTCCGGTCCAGAAGAAGAAGCTCTTGAAAGTCGAGAGTGTTATTTCAAGATTGTTTAAATTAACGAAGGTTCGTTTTTCTATGCCTGTCACTCCTTAGAAKTATTGGAATTCAACTAAAAGGCCGTTTCTTGCGGAGCAATGTTTTCACAGCGTCTGTGTTGAATCAGATAGCATTTCACATGTCTTGACAGCTTGTTCAAGGTAGATGAGAGAGGATGGATARGGATGACCTCTCATCAAATAACAAACTTCATTTATAATATTTTCATCGCGAATTTCTTCCAATATGTGATTTACTATTCGTGCGATAGTCTATTGTATGGTAATAATAAGAGGATTGCCTGGGTCCCAGGTCGGGCGGTCAAACTGTCGGCCTGTTTGAGCTCTGCTTGTGACAGGTTGCGGCCAAATACCAATTTCTTTAGAACAGGCCGCCTCGCTCGATGACTTGTTTTTCAAAATGTATAATTGCCGCAAATTATACCTTAGAATTGTCAAGTGAAATAAGGCACTGCCTCCTAAAGGCCACCTAAGATGTGTGGCTTCACTATTAACCACACRTTTTGGAAGAAACAAGCGCTTGCACGGATGCTATGACTCTCGGTTCGAGAGTAGAATATAAAGGCACTATAAACAAAACACCGCTGTGTTTCTTTATTGTCTGTGATCGAGTATTCTCCGACCTTGTCATGTTTCCTTACAAATGGCAAACCGGAATCATTTTGATGGCCTAGAGACGGTTATTAAAAGTCGCATATAGAGTTTCTTGATGTTTCAATATTGTGTTATGAAATCGGTCTCCAAATTTTGCGGGTGTAAAGTAACGAACCGCTTTGCAAATGTTAAAGTCATTTCTTTCAGAAACAAAAGAAGATTTCTTTCCGATGGAGTTCTGCCGCCCCCGGTCCGGCAGTGTCATGGCGTAAATGCGGGATACGTAGATTGGAAACTTCAAAGGATGCGACGGCGCGCACTCGTGGTGTCAGTTTCATTCACTGACAGATGCGWTTAAGGGAACCGTCTTTTTAAGACGCTCGCCGACAAACGAAACATCATACGGAAAGTAATCTCATTCTCGAGAGGGCTGCTGTTTTGAAGCAAGACGATGTATGATCTTTACTCTGCCTCGTTGAACTTTACCTCCCCATCGCCGCAATATCCAAACTATTGCAGTTATAATACTCCATCAACTCAACACTCATGTGCTGTGAACATGCAGACACAGTCCAAGCGCGATTACAGAGGCTACAATAGCTACAACGCCACCTCCATGAATGGCAGTGCATCAAGTGCGCTAGCATCTTGTGCAAGGGTACCACCTCTATCTCACCCACCGATCCAAATGGTAGATCGATCTGTACCTCATTCAAGCTTCTACGACGATCCTTATCGTTACAAGATCCAGAATAACTATCAAACACAAAGCAGCTTCCCAAACCACGTTCAATATGCAACTCCGGCTGGCAAAGACTACTGTGATGATGAAACTAGAAGCGAAAAATCATCCGATAACGATCAAGGTAAGGTAATTTCGTTTGGTTCACGTGTAGTTTTTCCATTTCGTTGTAATAGGACTATTTCATGTACTTGATTGTACAATTCTTTCCGCTTGCAGCGGAATTCTACTTCTATTGATTCCTATAAAACTTTATCAACAAATATTCAAACGTGTTTCATCGGAGCAGACGTTTCCATATTGTCTCGCGAGTCCATCTAGGCATTAGAGTTTAATTAAATCTACTGATCTTAAGATTTCGCGAATGAATCTTACGGTAAATATTTATTGGTAATTACAATAAAGAAAAACTTAATGTACAGTCTTTAAGTCTTTAAAGATAACTTAGCTACTGAGGTGAATTTTAACAATGGCTTGAGAAATCTTTAGATATCACGAATAATGTTTTGCGGACAAAGATGAGAAAGTGATGTTGCTAATCTGAGGCGATATACTAAGTTCTTTTGTTTTTCTAGGGCAAATTGTTAATGATTTTAGCTCAAAGGGCAGATTGGTAGTTGTTGTACAATCAACAATCCATCAACAAACACCAATTTATATTCTATTAACTCAACTACCCCTTCGATTCTGCCTTAACTCATTCTATCTTAGCACGGTATCCGACAGGTCTCCATAAAGTCTCTCTTACTCAACTTTATCAATTTTATTCGTTTKCTCAAATCCCAGAAAATATAAATAGTTTTTTGCGTACGCCTTAACAGCTGCAAAACGAGTTTTGAGTATAGTTCAAAACAAATTGACAATCCCTAATGCATTTTTAATAGCTTTGATTTTTTTTACTTGACACCGTAGAAATCTAATCGAAATTCATATGATGCTAGTGTTGGTCTTTGTACAAACAGTAGCTCATTTTTTCAGATGTGGCTTCGCGTTGATATTTTGGCAGCTATCAAAACGCATGTACGCAGAAAAACGAAMAAGTCGATCTTGACTCCTAGACATTTGTTCAAACGTTTCCAGCAGCTAATCTTACTTATCCTTGGATTTCTCTTTGCAAATATAATATTTACCAGGACTACTCAGGCTTAAGTGGTTTATGATCCTTAGCTTTGCCCGTGAATCTTAGATAGCAAATGGATATAGCAAATCCAGGAGCCAATATAAGACAGAAATTTGATAAAATAAATGTGTGCGCTCTATAGTACAACAAGGACGTCAGCTGGGCGAGGAATACTATGATACTTTAAAAAATATCTAGAAWGCAATTCTCCTTCTTGTGTTGCCATTCTAAGTAACTCACGCGCTAGATACTAGTGTAGTCTTCATATTAAATAAGACTTGAAGGCTCGAGTGGTAAAGCTACATATGATCTCCGATGATGCGTGATTCCAGGRCGCTAGATATTTGTTTGAAAAAACATTCAATGAGATGTAGCGTCTTGAGTGATAAATATTATTACAAACTATTGTGAATCATTCGAAGAAAACTATTCTTGCTCATAGTTATGGAGCAACTAGTTGCTATAAATTAAAAGCTAGCGAGGTTGAGAACTGCACGATTTCTTCAATTAGTTATGATGGCTWACGAAGTGGCTGTAGGGAATTCGATTCGGAAATCTCATAGTCGCATTGATAAGTGTTTTATCTACGAAATTTTGTTTTCAAATTTTCTCAAAACTTGAGGAATCGGTCATGTATATATTATCAAAGCATTCACCGTTCAGCCACACCTCTAGTTTTCTTCACAATCCATTCAGCACTTGGCTTCACTATAGGCTTCTTCTATTAACCAATCACCGACCTTCTCTCAAGTCGGCATATTCCCCTAAAGCTATTTTTGTCGATTCTCATTTTCCATGCCCTGTTCATGTATGTGTTCAGATCAAAATAAGCGGCAAAGTTGAAAGCTAGTCAAACTTGTTGTTTGGAAGTCTTCGGGCAGTTACCTCGGTATCATAACGCGCGCATTTGCTGTCGGAATAAACCCTGATTAACAAAGTAAAACATATAATAACGTTCTAATAAAATTCGTTCATCATCTGCAGATACCGACACAGATAAACCAGAAGACAATAAGTCAAAGAAGCGCAAAGATAGAACGGTATTTACGAAGTACCAGTTGATGGAATTGGAGCGAGAGTTTACTAAAAACAATTACCTGACAAGGCTTCGCCGCTATGAGATCGCCATGTCACTGGACTTGGCCGAACGTCAAGTGAAAGTGTGGTTTCAAAACCGACGAATGAAGTGGAAGAGGACACGTGGGGGGACATCTTCGAGCAAGAAGAATATTGGTATTGTTGATAGAAGAGAAGATATTGTTCTATCGTAACCTCACGGAAGCCATTGATAAGCATGCGCAAGAAGTAATGAACATATTGTAAAAATCTAGAGTACATTATCAGTTTAGTGTAGAGGGACAGTTAGTATATTATCAGTTTAGTGTAGAGGAACAGTAATTGGAATAGTAATTTGTTTTTACTCGCAATCACACCCTTGTTGTTGATCAATTTAAAGGGGAAAAAAACAGAGTGTTCTTGCAGTACCATTATAGCTTGTTAACATCATTATCCTGCATCAGATCGTGAGCACCTTCGTGAGATGTACCAACATTTGGACCAATACGACTCTCTTGTTATAGGATACATAGTCCATCACATTTAGAGTATAGTGTTAACTAAATAAAATGTCCCTTAGCAGCAACAGACAGAGAATAAGAAGGCTTCAATTATTTACAGCAGTTATAGGCTGCATTCGTACTCTACTTCATTCTCTGTGTAAATATATTTTTTGATTTTCATTTTTTTAAAATTCCATTTAAAGAATCGAATATATGGAGGTCATGCAGTATGAACCAGCAATATAGATGATTGGTGTAAAATCTATATTGAATATAGGGGGCATCTTTTAATGTATATCCAGCAKCACGATAACTAAATCAAGTTGTGCACACTAAGGCTAGTTTTGAACTAACGACGTAACAAAGAATCAACCGCTAGTTAAGGTGACCTCTTGCGTTTGAGTTTAAGCTTGAGCTTGCATTGGCATCAAGAAACAGACAACYGCGCACGCTGCGCACGGAAGATTTGTACGTACAGAATTATTACATTTATGTACCAATACTATTAATACTTAGCTTAGACGTCTTTCGAAGGGGAACAAAACATCGGCCATATAATCCTTYATCAAGCTAACAATATCAATAATTGTAAATAGATATTTATTTGCGTCGAAATCACCGAAATGTGCGCTAAACTGAGAGCGTTTTATTTACTTTTTAAAATATTGAAATTTAAGAATATTGACGACTGTCATTTGATTGAATTGTTAGTTAAAGGAATGGATTGATTATTAAAGATCATTTCGTTAATAGCTGCTTTACGAATCTGTACTTGACTTGTTAAGATTAGGGTGGCTGGGTTCACGTCACTCAGTAAGGGGGACAACGGGGGTAAGAGGTTGACCAACGGCAGGGGGGAGCGCGCCTTGGACATGGTTTTTGAGCTAGCAGGGGGCTCTATTTTGCTCGATAAACCGAAATCATGGGAAGAAAATGATAAGGGGAGGGGAGGGGAGGGTAAGAAAATATTTTGGTCAATTTACCTGTGGAAGGGTCTACATTTACACTTTAGTAGAGGTGACGTAATAGGTGCATAATCGTACAACTTGTCGCCAAACTCGTTGTACTGCAAGTCTCGTATTACCATCCTGCGCGCAGCACTTTTTTGTCGCACGAAGTAGATGCTCACCTCTCTTAAGGCTTTGCAACAAACGCGTTGCGCTGTTGCGCGCGGGATAATAAAATCTAAATTCCCTTTTACAGATTGCAGTACTGGTCAACGATTTTATAGCTTTYGTAAATCAGCAGCGGGTAGTTATGCATACGAAAAATCTTCCACTTTAAAGAGAACTTGAATTTCTTCACAAATTTAATTTCGCAAGTATTAGGAAAATTATTTATCATCAGATCTACTTTCCCCTTTTTTTCAATTAAAGCAAAACGTGGCATTCTCTCCTCTGGTCTCCTCTCATTCCCTGCCTATCCGCTCTCCCSTTCTTTTACTCAGCCCGCACCGGACAGACTCTTCTCCTCTCATACGCTCTATGCTTAACCTCCCCCCTTAGAAAGGGAGGAAAATAGAAACGAAAGATCAAAAGAAATAGAGAAATCATTACGGCTGAGTTATCTTGTACTTTCGGCAGTCCGCGTTCATTTTCCATTGCCGATGATTCACCTCTAAACATTCTTTTGGTTGAGATAAAGGATATACTCTCGGCCCCAACTATTCATTCAGACAGCTCACTATAATTAGAAGGCTGATTTMTATCATGGTTAGTGATAGCTACCAAGAGATAGTCAGTCTCGAGAGCCCAGACAMGTCTGATAAGCTATCAACAGGAACAAAATAGAGAGCACAGTGATGAGTAATGGGCCACCGGCATAGAAGCAAATCCTGACGCTAATCAACGACCATCTAATCCTTTCAATAGCTAAGCAAGAATCATACTTTACTGATGAAAGAAAAAAATGCTGGCAACTTTTCTCGAAATGGAGGGCTCGACAGTAAGATATTTAATTAGATTTGCTTGCTRTATGGCTCCCTACTCTAAATATCTGCCTTTTGAGATGGATCGGCGAGTGGTCTACATGTGTTACTGTGTTAAAGGTAAACGCGTAAGTCCAGTAATTATATGTCAGTATGAGTATAAGCTACACTGCATCTTAATTGCAAAAGTCGAGTGGCTACAAGAGGGTTACGCGTAAACACTAAACTCAACAAGTTTACTCACTTCAAAAAATCTTTCTACAAACTAACTACAAATCCTCTTCACTGGGACACTTTCAGCAGTTGACATAACACGTCTCTAAATAAGTCAAATGTGGACATATAGACGCCATGTTTTGCTTCTACATCCTATCATAATGAACATGAAGTCAGGATAGGTCAAAGGATGGGTTATATGGAAGATGCCGACCGATTGCACTGATTTGGAATTGAATTTCAACTTTTCAACGAGTCATGATACCAGTCAATGTGACTCGCCAAGACTATAAAACGTCTTTCCTTGAGATTTGTAGGACCTGTTTCTAATAGAGCGATGGTTGTTGACATCGATTCCTCTTGACTCTCGCTGGGGTAGGAAACGAATAGGGTCAAGAATTAACGACAGACAAGCTAGTTAGTCTAAACGACGTCGAAACCATTAAGCGTCAGTAARAGAAAAGAAGGCAAATGGTTTTTAAAGAAATACAGTGTGGAGAAGCTATGAACAAAGACTACGCCGRACAACAAAGAACCTTGAATTATGCTCAGCGGTCTTCAGGCAACCGTGCATGCGTCTTTTTGTGTCCCCCTGCTTTTAGCTTAGCTTTTTCCGTTTTTGGCATTTATAATACACTCTACAAAATTACTCGATTCTGATTGGACAAGAGGAGTACAATTAAATCCCAAATAGTACTCTGTAGAGTCCCAATTAAATTCCTCAATTTTGTTGAGTATATTATAAACAAAAAATCGCACAATCTTCTCGTACAATTCGGAATTTATAGACCTGATGTTTTGATAGTTCTCAAATTGAACTCGCCTAAAGGCTCGTCCAATTTTGAAAACTTTCAAAACATCACTGTCCTACTATAATTTCTACTATATTATAAATTGTACGAGAAGATTGTGCGATTTTCTATACAAATAGAACCGCAATGGCTGTCCATATAGAGTGAAGGCATTTAAGCAGTGAAACAAAAAATAAACGTGTAATGGTCAAATAGACACAAAAGAAAACAATGAAATTAAGGTCTACTGAAGTGTATTAGTCTGATATCTTTTTCACGAGTTAAATGCCTTCACTCTATATAAAACAAAAACTTGGCAACTAAATTTTAAAAAAGGTGTTGTGATCTGAATGTGGAATTAGGAAACACGTTCATGTAGAATTGCTTTCCCGCGC